CTGGCGAAACCTTTCAGAGCAGATAAATCCACAAAGGAACATTGTATTTTTATGATTTTTGGTATGTAGGTAGCGTAGACAGAGATCTACATTATTGGATGCAAATTATGCAAATGATGACTTCATTTGCATAATTAATGAGGGAATTCTGTACTTCCAGTGTTTTACATCATTGGACTTTGATACATTTAATGTTTATAATCTATGGCAGGTGGAATATCAACAGATACACATAATGCAAATACGGGCCTAATTTGCATAATAAATCTGAAAATTCTATGACTCCTTAGTGGTAGATGATGGGAATTTCATACTTGGGACATGTGTAAGTTAATCAAAAGTTAACATCATGATTCATCTATTATGTTGATGTAGAGGTTGTTTGCATAATGAAGGAAGAAATTTACATTTACATATCAAGCCCATATTTCACGGGGTATGACTCTGAGCTGTCGGAACTCTTGTTTGGTATGTATTATTTTAGACGTTACAAACTCGTTATATACGTGGAGATGGTATCAGGGGGGTGCGAGGGAAGTTCAATTCTCTTGAAGTCTCTTTCCCTGAATTGTTCGACGCCACCTTTTGACCAACCACATTGTCCATAATTCTGAAACCATGATTTCCTTGGCTCTCCCGCCCCACCACCATTTGCATGATGCAGAAGTGCAAATATAGAAGTGCCCCCGAGTCGAGCTACGGAATAAAGCTTTGCCGGGCACACTTGCTTGCTGGAGCTTGGTGACGCAGACGTATTTAGATAAAGGGGACTGAAAAACAACAACCTTCCTGACGGAGGTTTACTTTACAACTCGTGCTCGAGCTCGAGCAAAGTCCTAGCTGTCAATGAATTGAAATGACTCGATGCCAGTTTCGCTGATTTCATGAAGTTTGGCTCGACTTTGGACTGAGGAGACAATAGGGTTACGGAGTCATGTGTGTGTCTCGTGATCCCCAGGAGGCCTTCTTAGAAGCCTGGTTGACTCAGGGGAATACCCTTACGCAGGTGAATTTATAACTGCGTAGTTTGCACGGGGCGATTCCTCGACAAAGAAGACAGTCGTACAGACGAGTTTCTGGCCACTAGGAGCGATCCGACAGAACCTTTGGGTAGGTCTTGACTATCATAATATGCACATGAATGACGTCATCATGACGTCATATTAAGTTATAATGATATCAAATTTGTTGATATGAGTGGTTATTACTAGTACACCATACTCTGAAAATTTGGCGGTCATACGATATACTGTACCATTCTTGAGTTCTGGGGGGGGGGAGAATGAGCCCCCCAGTCCCAAAGATAAAAAAAAAGCCGTCTAGATAGGGTTAAAACGTAAGGTAGTACCCATTTGCGAAGCATTGACAGGATGCATGCCATAGTGATGTAATTCTAGGAAAGAAGCTTTCAGCGTATATTTTACTACTCACGGTACGGTCACAAGAGAGAACTATCACGATGCATTTCAACGTATGTCTTGTCAACAGCCTCCCCACTATTCATTTATTTATTCATCCATTTATTTGTTTGGTCATTCCGTAACAGAGTCTTATGTCCAAACCTATCTAAGCTGCCTAGTCTCTTTCATTTTTATCCTGCAAATTGCGGAGAGCTCGAGAGAGATTCGGCAGTTTAAATACATTTGGACACAAGGCCAGTAACTGTTGTGTGATATTTTTAGAGATGCGCCAGTGTAAGGGATGTAAGGACCCGGGTGAATGTGCGGTGTGCTACGCTGAAACACCCGTTGGCCAAATAGTGGGACTCCTGGTAAGTCTTCAACCGAATCCTATTTATTTCATTGACTCTTGTTTGATTTGTAACATGTTTCACTAAAGGACATTGGGGGGGGGGGTAATAGCCCTCTTATCACCATCAAATGAAAGCATACACAGACTGTTCAATTAGGTTACATTGTATGAAGTTTAGGTATAAACAGGAATTATGAAACATGATAGAATTTAGTAAAGCTGTTATAAATGTATCTTGATAATATATGGTTAAATAACAGCCTACATGTTATCAACCAGCAGCTTCTTTCGTACGCATAAGTATATCCTAATGCCTTTTTTTCAGGCAGTCAAACTCTTAATTTGTTTCATATCAGCTGTGTGAGGAATTCCTCAAAGCAAGGGCAGCAGATAGGAAGGTGATAGAAGAACTCCAGAAGAAGGTAGTGGACGAGTTGGCGAAACAGACAATGGAAGGAGTGGGACAAGAGGCTATTAAAGATGGTATTATGTAAATCTAACTTTAGTTCATACATTCATGCCACAATATGCATGTGAACATGATTCAAAACGTTAAACAAGTGACAAAATACGGTTATACCAATCAGGCAATAGTAGTAACTGTAGTTATAATACAGAGATAAAAGCCCCATTTTTCCATTTTCCATTACGGAGTGTGTCGCCGCAACATGTAATGTAAAAAGTAGTAATGAACACTTAACTACATAGATTCATGCAAATCACGATATTTGTATTTTGTTTGTTCTTGCAGTGCTCCTTGCTCTGGAGACTGCCAAATCCCCATGGATGTGGTCAGCTATTGTCACCGAGTTTGCATCGTACTACGCCTTCAAGTACATGTATGCTGGATCATCTGAGGAAGACGCCCGCCTGTATGTGGACGTTTGTACAAGATAATACTGTGGAGTATTAATGTCCAAGTGTATAAGAGAATCATCGGGAACTAATTATATAACAAAATCGAAATCCATATGCGTCTGATCTGTTTTTGTTGATGCCTCGGGAGCTATTCAAATAGTGCGGTATGTAGTTCCTTTGTAAAAATTGTAGGAATTTGCCAAGAATGTCCTGATGGATTTTGATGATATTTGATATGTATGTAGGATTTGGAAAGACGGAAATGAAGACCAATTACAGGTCTCCTGGCGACTGCCCTTTGTACTGTACCAGAATCTTTTGTCCTGGACATGCTGTGGCGTGGATTTGTGGTTGGCAGATCGATTTTAGCAGTATTTGGTATAACTATATGGTAGTTTATATGTTGTCATACCTTTCAGAATGTACATTTTACTCCATGCCACAGGTATATTGTTTTTGTTGACGTTTCATCTTCTCCTGCCATTTGCTCAAATGATTCCTATACGAAGCCTGAGGGGTGAGCCTAATAGTATAATATTATTATACTATGTGCAGTTGCAAGTCCAGGATTTCTCCAGTAAAGTTTCGATGTATATCTCTTGTGGGTATGACTACTAAGCTAACCATGGCAATCGTTTTGTTTTTATTTATTGCCGGCCTTAATTGTTCTTTTAAGCTTTTCGTCTTTCATCGGACTCATCACTTCTGTGGTCACTGGCGGTTGTGTTGCTTGGAGTACTGTGGGACTGGTTGTTGGAGGTGTTGCCTGGGTCATTGGCAATGCCATCCCCAATCCAGTCCTCTGGATAATGTAAGTTGCATGATTACCGAAGAAGGTATAAAGAAGACAGGTGTACAAGACCATCCCTATATGTGATATTTGTATGGAAAACAAATCCAAAATATATCCACAAAATTTCTGGAGCCTTGTGTCAAGACAGATATTCTGATTTAAGGAAACTGCACTGCAGATAAATAAACTCTTTGTGCCAGAGGTTGTATCATATATCTACAGACATTTTTATAAGGCATTGTCATGATGCGTGATGTCAATTATTCAGACTCAGACTAGTTGATTAATTCTGGCTCAACTGTTTATGATATTTTAGATATTAGTATTTGAGTTAGTAACTAAAATTTCCTTATTTTTTTTCTACATGTAGGGAAAAATTCAACGTGAAGATAAAAAAAGGCTGAAGACCATCTTCGACCAAGGATGCTTCGACTGAGTGATATTTGGAGTGGAGTGATGTAGCTACATTTTTGCCAATGAAGCAATTATATATGTAATTTTACATGCGTGGTATTAAAGCTTATTGCTCTGCTAATGCTCATATTGACATCTGGATAAGATTGATATTGATATGCTGATGAGCATATCTACCAAAGCACACGAACATAGAATGTGCAAGTTTGTATGGGTGATAAAATGATCTAAGTTTTAAAAAGGCACCGTTTCATTATGTTTTCCAATAATTTTCTTTTTTACCCCAACCCTGGAATCTAAAAAAAATGGCAAGTTTATTGCACATGTATTGGGGCTAAATTCAGAATTTTACCTACTGCAGAAGAGTAATAACAGTTATAAAATGCATATGTGCACGTAACAATGGATGACATGTTCACATGTATATTGTCAGTTGACTAGGAAGTAATGAAAAAAAAAACAGATGCAGAAATCGTGAAATCGTACATGCTGAATACTAAGATATAGGACGCAGCATAATTATTGGCGTTTCCCCAAGAAAATGTAGAATGAAAGGTCAATCAAATGTTACTTAGGGCTGAGAATATACAGATATTTGAATGTGTGAATGAAAGCATCTGTTCATAGTAATCGTTGTAAACACTTCAGGTCAGGTCCCGCACCTGGAAACGAGACCACATGTCCCCCCCCCCCC